TTATTATGTCTTATTAGTCGCTCGTCTCATTTCGTCTAATTTCTCTTAGAGCCTCTATGGATTCTTTTGGTTGAGTAAGTGATAGTAATACGTCATCTGCATACGCAGATACCGTGAATTGCTGACCTCCCACTTCTACTCCGTGGATATGTGGGTGCTGTCTAATGGCTTGTAATAGGGGTTCCATGGATATAACAAAAAGTAGGGGTAACCGGGGGCAACCCTGTCTTGTTCCGTTACTTAGCTGAAATGGTACGCTATAGGCTCCTGAGAGTTTTATATGAGCTCTAACGTTGTTATACATACCTTTATCATAGAGATGTATGTGTCTGGGAAACCCATGTGTGGAAGGAGGGAGAATAGATAGGGCCATTTGACCCTATCGAAAGTCTTCTAGGCATCTAGAGATAGCATTAGTGTGGGTTTTTTGTAGTTACTTGTCTCCATATTATATCAATGTTTCTACGGGTGTTCTCAAACAATTGTCTCTCGGTGACAAACCCAACTTGATCAGCATTGATTAGTCTAGAGAGCAGTGGGTTCAGTCTGGTTGCTAGTATTTTTGCGAAGATTTTCAAGTCATGATTTATTAACGAGATGGGTCTGTAGTTTTCCGGTCTTTAGGTATCCCTGCCTGGTTTAGGGAAAAGTATTATGTTTGCTGAGGACATATGTCTGTCTGGGGTTTTGCCCTCCTGTAGGTTGTTAAATAATTGTTCTAGCTTCGGGGTTAGTTCTTCTCTAAAGGTTTTATAGTAGCTACCGTCGTAGCCATCCTGGCCCGGATCTTGTTCCTTTTTAGTGCTGAAATGGCCTCATCTCTCTCCTCTATCGTTAACTTGTTTTGTAGGCTCTCGATTGCTTCTGCTGTCTCTGGAGTGTAAGTTTATTTAGAAATTCCTGTATGTCCTGGGCTTTTACTCATATGGTGTCTGGTTTTTGTGAGGATTGGTTATATAGGGACTCATAAAATCTGGTAAACACCTCTGCTATGTCCTTAGAGTATGTTTTTAGTGAGTCATTGCTACCTCTAATTGCTGTAATGGGTGGATGCCTCTGTCTTGGGCGCAGTGATCTAGCCAGTAATGTGTCCATTTTATTTGGTTTTTCATAAGTTCTCTTGGACTTTATGATGTCCCTGGTTGTGTCCTCTACCAACAGCTTCTAGTGGACTCTCTTATTGCCGTCAGTAGTGTGATGTTTGTTTCATTGGGATTTATGTTGTTGCTCTTTTTTCCTGAGGGTTGTTAAAAGCTCTGAGAGTTTTTTCTTTTGTTTAGTTTTTTTGCCATAGCTAGGCAGATTAGGGTTTCCCTGATTACTGCTTCATGCGCCACCCTGAGAGTCCCCGGTGTTAAGTCTCCCTGATCATTCAGGCAGAAATAGTCCTGTATGTCTTTGCGCACTGCATCTACTATCCGGGGGGCTCGTAATAGGGATGCATTAAGTTTCCAGGTCCATGGTGAGGCCGTGCAGAGGTTCCCCAAGAATAGGGATATGTCCACGTGGTCCAACCATGTAATAGATCCTATTGATGATTTGTGAAACTTTGCTAATCCTGTGTTATTGACTAAAAAATTGTCTATCTTCGAGTAAGTATTGTGTGGGGCTGAGTAGAAGGTATAGTCCACTTCCCCTGGATGGTGTGCCCTCCATATGTCTATTAGTCCTGTGGTTTGGAGGAAGTTCTGTATTAATTCATCTTTTCTACCTTTTCCCTGTGAGTGCACTTGTCCTCTCTGAGAACTTCTATCCAAGGCAAGGGACGCTGTTAAAATCCCCTCATCAACATTCCATGGGTCAGTGCCTTTATCTTGTTTGCTAACCCGTCCCAAAATCCTGCAGTGGGGTCATTTGGGGTATAGACATTTATCAAATGTATCACATGTGAGCATCATCCCAGTCAGAATTATTCACCGTCCCCCATTACTAGTATTGGGCATCAGTTGTGTATTAAAATTGCGACTCCGTTATGTTTGCAGTGGGCCCTTGCTTCATAGGTCACTCGATAATTGTGGTCTCTTTGGGGTGTCTGGGTGTGTCTCCTGCAGGAACGCTATATCAGGTCCCAAACGTTTCAGTTCCCTGAATATCAGGCAGCATTTCTTAGGCACTTTTAGGGAAGTAAAGTTCAAAGCCATCATCTAGTGTTGTTAGTCATGCCTGTATTGCTCTCATGTGTCCTCTTACCAAGCATTACCTTGTGGTGGGAGATATCCTTTATTATGGTGTCCCTATCCCCTTCCTCCAGGTGTCCCCCTCGTATAACCCCATTCCCCCCATGCGATCTGAAGAATAGAAAGAAACTAGAAAGTAAAAAAATAGACAGCAAAATTATCAACGAGAGATATATACAAAGCATCTGGTCTTATCGTTTGCCAGACCTTTAAATGGGTGTTTGATTCGGCATCCCCAGCAGGGTGTTCTGACTGAGTATGCAGAATAAAAGACAATTTACCAACCGTGTACTCGTTATGTCCACTTATATGTATAGGTGATAACTTAACACTTAACCTGTTGGCTTTACTCTAGTCTTTCGTGGTAAATATTGTGGAACTATTCACATATGTGGACTCGTTTTGTGGAATGCAGTATAGCCCCGTGTTATCCTATTTATGTTTTTCCCATTCTGGGCTGTATTGTGCTGGCCTGAGTGTACCAGCCTCATGTGCCCCCACCCGTCCCTTCCCGTCCCCTGGAGCCCAGCTGGTGGTAGGCCTGGGCCCCCAGCAGGAGTGGTTCAGAACAGAGCCATGGACAGATTTAGAGTTGGTCTTGCTGCAAGGCATGGGAGAAGCGATGGGCTACTGTTCAACTTTTGAATGCTGCAGCACCTCCCCACCCCACCCCCACGGCGTGACACATATCTCACCCCCTTGATGCCCCACCATCCTGTTGACATCAGCATGTATGCAAAACTATGTACAGATAATAAAATGGTGGTAAAGTAATAATTATAAAAAAAGAAATTAAAAAAAAGCTTTAAGCAGGTGCAGATGTCTCTTTCAAAAAATGTGGTCAAAAATCTAAACCTTGAAGGTGAGAAAAAAATGTATTTTAAGTGTCTGAGTCCCTTGTAGGCATTTCCTTGCTCGGAGCAGTGCCGTCCTTTGTGTGTTAAGGTGGGTAGTAGGCCAGCCTTGTTTTATATTTCTGAAAGATAAATAGTTTAAATCTAGGCATTGTGCTAGGAGAAATGCTAGAAAATAATAGATTTTTACTGAATGTCTTGGCAAACTTTTTAACTTTGGGAAAAAATGTCTGAAACAAATACAATTTAGTAATATGATACCCATTCGAAAAAAACTATGTAAATATATACTGTTAATATTGCAACAACTTTGTCATTTTGTAAATAGGATATATTAACCCCTTAAAACCGGAGGGCGTACTATTAAGCCCTATTCTAAGTGGCTCTAAACGCTTTTTTTTTTTTACTTACCCGGTCGCCGGCGATCCCATGCCAGCGATCGCAGTTGGGAGACTCACCTGGGATCCCAGGGAGTCCACCCCCGGGTTGGATCCTGCCTCCTCTGCCCCCCCGACCATGTGAGAGTGAGGTCCTTGCGAGGACCTCACAATCACATGGCCGGGTTAGCTGGCTGCTGCATTGCCAGCAGGGGGACTGCCTGTAATGACAGTCCCCCTGCTGGCTGGAAATCAAATAAAATAAAGTTAAATAAGTGTAAAAAAATAAATAATATACTTAGCTCATATAAATATATATATGATCTAAGTATATATATATACACATATACATACACACAAACATACACTGTCTAGGTGTATTTTACTATTAATATATATATTAATATCAAATTACACGTAGACTGATACTGATTAAATATATATATATATATATATATATATATATATATATATATATATATATATATAGTTATTGTTATATATATATTTATATATAATATAAAAAATATGTAAATACGTTAAAAAATAAAATTTAAAAAATAATTAAAAATAAATAATTAAAAAATATATAGATGTGTGTTATTTCGTTCTAACTGTATTGTGATATTAATATACATATATCAAAATACACGTAGAACGAAATAATATATATATCTATATACATAAATATATACGTATATATCACTATATATAAATATTTTAAAAAAATTATATATACACACATATATATATACACATACGTATATATACATATATTAATATATATTAATATATATACCTCTTCTTTGTATTTTATGCATATTATATATATATATATATACATATATATATGTATATTTATGTAATCTTTTTAAATAATTAAATCATTTTATTAATTATAATTCGAGGGACCAGCCTGACAACCCAGGCAGCAAGTCCAGAGAATTTATTTTGCAAGTCCTATGTTTATCCCTGTAACTTTCAAAAACACCATAAAGCCTGGACATGGGGGGTACTGTTGTACTCCTGAGACATTGCTGAATACAAATATGTGTGTATTTTATTGCAGTAAAATCTAACAGTATTATGACATTCACAGTTAAAATGTCATGCAGAACTTGAAAAACTTGAAAACAAAATTTTTAATTTCTCACACATTTTTAGATTTTGTTCACATTCAGTTATGTTTATTATATATAAAATAATTGCAGGTTTTGTTTACATTGTTCACAACTTGTACAATTGACCCTTAAGGGGCTAAATTGTTTCTTTATATTTATTGTTGTGGTATGATAAAACACTGGGGCAAAATACATTCTCAAGATAAAGCTCTGAGAAAGGATATGGTGATGAATGGTTTTAAATAAAAGGTGGTAAGGTTATTTAACACTCACTGGCAATACGGTGGTGGTGAAAATTAAAATTTATGTAAATAGGTTTATCGTTATGGTATTATGGTTGTAAGCCCCTTTAAGCTTTGATTAAACACCACGGCCTAAGTCACTGAACTATAAATTAACTGTGTCTGTGTTTATTTTGTGGCCTATGTTTTTATTGCAAAATATTGCTTACCATACATAAAAACATTGAAAGGCAGAGTCCATTTGGTATACAGGTAGTTATTTATTAGTAGTATATAGGAACATTAGTGCAAAACACATGCCTTACCTTCGCCTCCAGTCTTGTAAACAAGCTTTCAAAATAGAGTTTTAAATATTACGACTTCTCAGCACTTTGTGTGCAAATGAAAAAAGGCCAGACTTCTTTCATCTTTACATTACAGACATGGAAAGAAAACACTTATTTTTATATAAAAAAATTAAATAACCTGGATTTTGTGAGATTTATGTGTAATACTATAGGCAGCATTCATATTCAGACCAATTCTGTGAAAAAGAGACATATAAAAATCTTCTTTCAAGATACATGATGTTTTGGATGCAACACCCCTTCCTTCTACAGCCGCCTGCTGCCATCTTGTGGACAGCACAGGAAATAGAGTGCATTGCACAAAAAGGATTCGGCTGCAGTCAAGGCCTAGTTACTTCATGATGCTTGTAAAGTTCCAGTATGACAGGACTCTTACTTCCATACTTTCACAATTCCATCCCTAGAAGACGTTACTATAAACCCTTGTGTGGTTTGAAAAGTGGCTATGTCCGTAATAATATCATGATGTCCAGCTGGCAATGATTCAGGTCCTTTTCGTGGTGTCTCTTCACTGGGACCAGCTGTGTGTTTACTTTGGATTTCCTGTTTGTTAAATGCATGCAATAAAAGAAAAACAAACAAAAATTAAACGATAATAAGATCGCCTGGGAATTTCACTTTTAAACAAGCAGCCAAGGCAAGATTACACTGAATGTTAAATCATAGTTAAAGGAAAACAGTCATGGCTTACCTGGCCCTCCACAATCTCATTAAAGATGTGAGTGTTACACTTCTGTTTCACCAACTTCCAGGCAGCTCCTCCTCTGTTCTTTGCTAATATGCCCTGCTTGGAGACACTTCGCAAGCAGGGCAAACCTCTTTCATGACGCCAACAAGCTGGCTTTAATGTCAGCGTGCCAGTGACTGAACAGCGTAATGTCACATCACTTCATTCCTATACTCCCTAGTTGGTGCTAGTAGCGCCGGCTAGGGAGTTACCACAGCAACCATTATTCATGGTCTTCCGAGGAATTGAAAGGGAGATGGGAGGGAAAAAAAAAGATTTAAATAGGTTTTTCTTCAAAACTATACATCTGCTAGAAAAATTGCTAGCATAATGTATAGATAGAATTTAACTCCTTAAGGACACATGATGGAAATATTCTGTCATGATTCCCTTTTATTCCAGAAGTTTTGTCCTTAAGGGGTTAAGCTCTTTCGAAATAGCTAAAGTTGTATACTTGATGGCAGTTTCATCTATATATGCATTTCCAAGATGTAAATTCCAAAAAGAATTTAAATGCTAACACCTGCATATATCCATTCCTGTTATAAAAATAAAATTAAAAAAACAACACACCCAGTAATGAATGATTGTACTAGAGTGCCCAGCAGAGCGAATGCAAAGAAGGGCAAACAACACTTTTACACTGAAATATCCTATCCACCTGTTTGTACGCTGGTTTAGAAAACACCTTTTCCTTACATAGCTTTTTGGTCAAGTGTAAAAGCTAGGGTCTTAGAGAATCTGTGCTGGGCAGTAATGGGCAGTTATTGCACCTTTTGTGGTTCTTCAGAGTGGCATTGGCTTAGTCACACATTACTGGAAGCCCAGTTACCCATAAAGTTTGCCTAACCAATCTAGAAGTAAGAGGAAGGGAAAAAAATGTGTTTTGTATCCTTGATGTGATTAGATATAGTCAGTAGGTATTTGTGCTTCCAGTGGACTTAAAACATTGCATTATATTTAGGGACATTGAATATCTCTTGTAATTTGCTGCAGGACATTTACAATTTCAGAGCACCTGCATGCATTTTCTATAGAGAAAGAGAGACACAGAATAATGCTCGCACAGGTAATTTCACACACAAAGAGACTCAAATAGACAGAGGAACCAAAACACAAACACACGTAGATACATAGGCACTCATACTTTAAATTTAGTTTTCCCTCATTTCTTCTTTTCTTTTTCAGGGATGGAGGGGGGCTATGTGCTCTCGCTCGTGTCTAGTGTTAGGGGAGCAGGAGAGCTGTGAATCGTGCAGCACAACCTTCCCTCCTGCTATACATGTAATAGGTAGCCAGTGCTGTAGTACATCACATCTTGGTGCACAAGTTCAGCCTCAATGCTATTATGCGATGGGTGGGGTTATTGAGAGTAACTAAAGCCATCACACATAAAGTGCACTATCGCTGCAGTATCAGTGTGTTGGGCAGTCACTATGCCTGGCAACCAAAGAGTTGCTATACTGTGTCTACCACACCAGCTGGACCCTAAAAAGAATGGGGCTCACAGTTGGCACACCACTTACCAAATCTAAAAGGGAGACGTGTAAACATGCAGACCTTGTTGAAAATTATATCTAACACAAGCTTCAAACAGTGTAGTCATCGTACGTAAAAACAGATCCACTCAGACAATATGAATGCAGAGAAACAAGTTGGTTAACCCATCAGGATGAGCAGACAATTTAAACTTGTCTAAACTAGTATAATATTATTTATGTAATGTTATATACATTATTATTAATATGCAACTATTACACAATAGATACAAACATATTTGCTAAATTTTCAGTACACATTACTATTTCACTGCTATAATAATTTTACTGTGTGACATAAAAAAAAAACCATTATATAGCATTTCGAGGTTTTCTCACAATGCATATCTTTCAGAACAACAAATATAATCAGAGACAACAATTGATTAATACCTCTAATGGCCTTGCCCAACCTATTAACATGCATGTGTACTTACCCACACCAAATTATTTTTCTAATATGTGGTAATACATAATTGCATTATAAATTACATAAAACAGCACAAGATAGGAATATCTCTCACCTGAACAACTTCAGTTCCTTCTATTATCTTACTAACGTAAGACACAGGCGGTAAACTGTTAGTACTGCCTGCAATAATGTAGGATCTCTTCGGACAGGCCAAATTCCAAAATCTGTAATTCAGAAGCACATTATTAGACACCTAGTGAACATATATAGCACTCTTCATCAAGTTTACAAATGTAAACTCCTAAAATAACACATGTTCCTTTACAATAGCATATTCCCCAACCTGGCATTTGAGCATGCCCTAGAGGACGTCACTACACTGTCATGAGCTCAAGAGAATACTAAAGAGAGAGAAAATAGTATCCTTGTATCATCTGTTCTGGAGCTTAGTAAAAAAAGTATAGGTAGGACATACACAGTCTTGAGCAACAGCATTGCACCCATGGGAAACCCACACTATAAAAGGGATCAGCCCATCATCCCTTACATATCTAGGAATCAAACTTACTCCCTCCTTAGCGGGCATTGTAGAACAAAACTACACCCCCTTAATTCAGCTGTGCAAAAACAATGCTCAAAGGTGGAAAACTGCAAATCTCTCCTGGCCAAAACATTCTAAACGAGGAACTGCTCCATGCAGCATCTCTACTCACGGGTAGAGAAACAGGGCCGCTTCCCACTTACAGACCGACAGGGGGGGCCACCCGTATTCTTCAGGGCTAGGGCCCAAGTACTACTACTGTGATTGTCCCTTGAACCGTTTTTCCTCAGACCTAGATGTTCAAGATGTTCATTATGTTGATACGTGTTACTTTGTTTATATAATGACGCAATGTTTATATCACTGTATGATGCATGGACGACTTCGGATATGTACATGTGACTATGTTATCTGATTTCTCGTGTCAACTGCAATCGTGTACCACAATGTAACTATAACATGACTCTGCAATGTATGTGAATGTTAAAACCTTCAATAAAACATAAATATAAAAAAAGACATTTTTTTCAAAAGGGGATCTGCCACAGAAACAAAAATATAGAAACCCAGGAAACGCTACCAGGTTCGTAGACGATAGATGTTCATAATGAATTTTGATCAACAAAAATTTGGAGAATAAAAAAAATAAAAATACTCATGTGGTGTAAAATCCACCTGGTGGAAGAGGTCTATGCATCATGTGAAGCCTACAGAAGTCACAAAATAAGAAGGTTCTTTTTGCCAGTCCTTTTATGCCAGTGTGAAAAAAAGAGCCAACATAGTCCTCAGAGGCAAGATAAAACATACATAAAAATGAATCATACATAATGTATTAGTTACCTGAGTTTCATATCAGACCCTGCAGTCAGTAGTATGGGGTTTCCATCAGCTGGACTGCAGTAAATACCATTAACACTATGAGGAGAACCCTGCCAAACAAGAAAATTTTGATATTTTTACATAAACTGATAAATCACATTAACTATAACACAAATATACCAAGAATAGAGATGTAAGATTGAAAACATGTCAATATATAACAATAAGGAATATGTCACGTTGTTCTTGCATGTGTGTGACTTGTTTGTCTACAAAATATATGGTAGCCAAGTACTTCTATCAAATATATCCATAAATAGAATAAGGGGTTGCAGAACTGAAATGAAGCAGTTGGTAGCATGGATATTAAAAAACAAAAAACAATACTTATACTGAAATAATGAAAGTTCAATATAAAAATAGTCATCTGCATCTTTGCAAATGATCTAATTTTACAAACAGATATTCTTTCCATTCTAATAGAGATTCAATACGCTAGACATTATACCATCTTTCAATGTTTGCTGTCAAACAACAGGACAAATCTGCCCATCTTGAAAACTCTGATTTTAGATACAAGGCTATAATATGAGGTCTGTCCAGAAAGCATCCAGCCATGTAATATGATATATAGAGACATTTATTAAAGAAGATACAAGAAACATTGTACATAGGACAATGATGCATCAGTCCCCTTCAAAGCAGGCACCTTGGGATCTCACACAGTTCTCCCAGCATTTCTTCCACTTATCAAAACACTGCAAAATTCTGTGTTGGAATCACCATCAGCTGCCTCGTCATATTTACCTATCATCGACGATCTGAAATCTCTTCCCTTTCAAAGGTGATTTTAGTTTTGGAAAAGCCAGAAGTCACAAAGCGCAAAATCTTTCAACAAATTCTCGACCATCATTGCATCATACCCAAAAGCCTTCTGAATCATTCAAATAGTTTCAGAGGAGGAATGTTCAAGTTCAATGCAAATTTGATGCAGATTGGTTGCTCTACCCGCTCAGTCAGTTAGAATGCGATGGCCACACAGTACACTTGCTCACTCAACGGCGTCTATGCCCCCACTGACTAGTATAGTGAAGTCGTCATTGTTCACGCCAGCATTCTAGTCCACTCTCCTTGGCTGTCAGGGTATATTGATGTCACGCACACTGTTCTTATGTTAATGATGGTTGGACTTTTTCCGGACTCATATATGGCATTTTCATATGACCACAATGAAAATGCATAGAGTCCAATTAGGAGGAATAATGACAATTGTGGAGTGCAATATGACATTCAGAATTAATATTCTAAACCAGTTAAAGGATAACTCCAAGCACCATGATCACTTCAGTCATTTTAAGTACAAGGAAAGGTTAAAGGAACTTAACATGTATAGCTTGGAGGAAAGACGAGACAGGGGGGATATGACAGAAACCTTTAAATACATAAAGGGAATCAACACAGTAAAGGAGGAGAGTATATTTAAAAGAAGAAAAACTACCACAACAAGAGGACATAGACAAAGGTTTAAAAATAATATCAGGAAGTATTACTTTACTGTGAGGGTAGTGGATGCATGGAATAGCCTTCCAGTTGAAGTGGTAGAGGTTAACACAGTAAAGGAGTTTAAGCATTCTTGGGATAGGCATAAGGCTATCCTAACTATAAGATAAGGCCAGGGACTAATGAAAGTATTTAGAAAATTGGGCAGACTAGATGGGCCGAATGGTTCTTATCTGCCGTCACATTTTAGGTTTCTAAGTAGTCGTGGTGCCTGAAATCTGTATGTGCAGCATTTTGCTATGAAATGTTGTACATAAAGAGTTGAAACCCTTTGAAGCTGTAGGTGTACTACACCTCAGGCAGTGTCACTGGGGCATCATTAGCCAGCTTGGAACAAGTTCCAGGTAGGCTAGTGTCAATTCTGTGCATATTTGTGCGACCGGTTGCTTTCAGCAAATGAATCGGAAGCAGGGCACTCTAGCAAACCAGTTTATCACATTAACGGGGAATGGCACCAGTGTACGCCTAACATCATAACTGCTGCCTGCTGTAGTTACTTTAGTAACCTATAAAGTCACAAGATCATAAGCTAAATTATATTAAGCTGTGCATGGATGTTGATCTGTTTTACAAATGTTATTAGCAACAGAACACTACAAATATCCTGCCAGTGATGTGCTCCTATTAAGGAAAATACATACCTGCCTTTCTGAGAGTGGAGGAGCATTACTAGCCCATAAAGTGAAACGTCGGTCTCCTGTCTCCATATCCCACATGGACACTTCATTGTTTCCTTCAACAGCTGGAAGTGAAACAAGACATGAATCATATGTTGTCACTGGTTCATACACAGTACATACATGCACAGTGTTATGAGGTTCACAATAATGTTAAAAACAAAAGTGGTGTGTGTGTGTGTCTCCTTGATCTGTATCATGGTAAACCTTTCCACAAAACCAAAAATAAACAAACCGTCTCCTGTAAAACCAAACCTGATTTTTTTTTTTTGAGTTTTGACACACTGCGTGCCAAATTCTCGCTCTATAAGGATTACTTTATATATAAAATACTATTGTTTATTTTATAGTAAACCCCCCCCCCCAATCTAAAAATGAATAGTTAAACTGACCTGGAATCCCCATATAAATTCAGTGGTGCCTGGTGGTGGTCCAATATAATGCATCTCACAGAGAGACATTTGATTGGATTTTTCACCGGCTCAGAGCACATGCCTAAGCCATGTGTGCCGAGGGTGAAACTAGCGCCCAGCATAAAAGTGCGACTACCACAGTACAGTACAGACTCCTACTACGGTGACCACTTCTAAAGATAAAAGTGGTGGTGGTAAACCTTTAATGCCTCACGTATAAGATCCCAGGGATAGCTCCTGAAAACAAAAGCAAATGAGCTTGGTTTCTCTAGACCCACCAATAACGGAGGAGAACAGTCTAGCTTCCCCTTTCCACAAATAAATTTGTTTTATAAGCTTATTACCGAACATATAGAACAAGTGTTTCAATCTACTTACTGCTTTCTGGGGGGAGCACTATTTTGTTTTAATAAAACAAAAACAAAAAATTTAAAATTTTTTTTAAAATTCTTTATTTTTGTTGTGCAGGTGTTTACAGGGTATCAACAGAGGCCACAACAGCGTATTGCAAGATTGACACACGTTAGACAGTGGCATGAAAATTCGCACATTTTTCTAGATTTTTATCTAGCTTAACTAAAAGGTTATATTGCCAGAGTAAAAGTAATTGAAACAGGTGAAAAGAGTGAAAAACAATTAATGCTTAACAATGCTAGATTAGCTATGTTAGTGTTGGTATAGTGTACTGACAAGCTTATGTGCTTCAAGGTTATGATGTGTGTTGAGCTTGTTTGTTATAGGCTGTACGGTCTTGTCCTGCTTGGCTTTCCCATGGCATATGTGTTAGCATGTTGTGTAAGGTTAAGGTAGGTAACGCCATTGGGACTGCTCAGTGCCAATCTCTGGTGAAGCACTTACATATATAGTTGCATAAAGCAAGAGGGTAAATGATCAGGTAGATGGCTAAACATGCTGAGTGAAGCTACTAACAGGCAGGTCTGAGTAATACAAGATGAGTTATGTTGGTCATAGTTCAGTAAGGACATATGCTGCGAGGTGAATATATGGGCTGTAGGTTGTTGCCAGTGGTAAGAATGTCCCGTAAGGTGCATAATGTAGAGGCTGGAGCTTTTCAAGTTGACTCTTTCAGCCTATGCCCACCGGGTGTACAAACCTGTCCAGCATGGGGGTGACCTGTCCGAGGGCGGCACGCTCGCTTGGTGAGGTGATGGTGAATTTGCTTGCGCGGCAGGACAGATGCCTCCCCGGGACCCCTTCCCCGGTTGGCGGTGGATAGGCTCTCTGCCGGTATCGTCCGTCGGTCGACGGTCCTGCTGCATCGTGGATAGTGTCGCAGTAGGTGTTTAGGCTTCTTTTGTGCTGGGTTGCGCTGTATTGGTTGACTGTTGCTGAGAACGCTGAGTGGTAGGCAGGTCAGGGACGCTGGCGGGTCCTGCCCTGATGCATGATAGTGTGAGTGTTGCTGTCCGGGGATCATGGTGCAGTGTCCCGCCTCGCCGATCCCCGTCGACGTTTCGATCGAGAGGCTGCTCTGGAGACACGATGGGGATTCCCCCGCAGGCCGCGCCGGGTAGCGGGGCGGATCCACGCCACCACCTTTCTCACAGCCAGCCTGTAGAGCTGTCTCCGGGCATTGAACTGCGTCCAGAGGTAGGTGCAAAGCCGGTCGAAGAACTCCAGCGTGTGCTTGGGTGGCTGAGTAAGTGCGTGCTTTGTCCTGGGCTGCGTCTGTGCCGCCATCTTGGCTAGGCCCTGGCGGTCCCGTTTGGCCGTGGATTTTAGCGCTTGGGCAGGCATTAATGCGGGGGTATTCGTCCCCAGCGAGGACCGGGATGACACCCGCCGGTCCAGAGGGGGGGTAGCAGAGCTGTATTGTACTCTCGCTTGTGAGCTCGTCCCGTGCCGGGAGGTGTCAATTTCTCAGTCTTTTCCACAGTGCTCCGGTGCCGGGCAGGTGTCAATTTGTTGCTCATGTCGTCTTTAGTTTGTTCCCGGACACCGTTTGCTGCTGTCGCTAGTGGGTCGCTCAGTATCAGCATTCTTTTGCCCGTTATTGCAGGAGCTCTTAGAATGTGCGACTGGCCATCTTGGCTGTCAGGCCCCGCCCCACAAATGTTTTTTATAATACACTTGAAACAAAATTGCCAATATGTTTGAAAAAAAATTGGCATATTCTCCTGCTAAGAGCAATCTGACAGCATCAGCATGCAGACTCCGGATCACAGAGTTATTTACTCAAATGAGAGCTTCTGAGAATTCAAAGTGAATTCAATGAGAATTTCTAATTTTAGGTCAAAAGAGACAAATTAGAAAAAATTATTCCAGTCAATTCTTTTTTTAGTTTGGCTATTGTTGGCCTTACATTTCACTTTGAAGTCGCAGCAATTTTCACTTAACCCTGAATGTCACTTCTCACAATGACAGACATCACACACATAATGGACTTTTTTTTTTTTATGTGTTTTACATCATAACAAATTTATAAATAACACCCCCATCCTTAAAATATTTATTTAAAAAAAATATTTAAATCTGTAGATAAATACTTTTTCTGTTTGTACAGCTGCATCCCTGGGCTGTCTATCAGCCAGCTGGAATACGCTTTTCCTGGTTGGCAACATCAGTTTTCTGCAACATTTGCTTTGGTGTCAGCACACACTGTATCCTAACCCCTAATTACTGGGCGATCTACACACATAGTGCCAAAGCTTCTCTATCTTCCTGATTAAAATAAAACAAAACATAAAAAAGCAACAACATAAATTGTTGAACTCTGGTCTACCTATAAATATAGTATTGAATATTTAAAATACAAAAACAGGCCACTCTGTTGGGAGTGTGTCATATTCAAAACAAGAAGTTGCTTGCCCTGCTAGACTACAACTCCTGGAAATGCTCAGTGAGATTCAGGCTGTGGATGGTGGGAGTTAAAATATGTCTGATGTAGGAAAACGGCAATCAACTTCACCCAGTGGTTGGCTTAGTTTGATAAGAATTTTAGTTCACCACAGCTTTATATATGTCAATTCACCAATGTATATGGAGGGAGGAATAGGAACAGGACTAGAACAGCCCTACAGTTAAAAAAATTTTTAGTTCTTTCTTTCTCAATAAAAACAACACATTTCTGTAAGAAGCTTTGGATTGAAGTTTTGCCTGAAAGCATTTAAATGAACACTCCAGTTTGCTGAAGTGCTTTATGTGTCTTTGAGTATGTCATTTTTGACAGCTCGTAAAAGTGACAATTCCAAAAGAAATCTGCACTTTTATATAACTTTGCCAAAATTCCATCACTGCTATCAATCAGAATGCACACCTTCCATAAAGGGACACTAGTGTCACCAGAACAACTACAGCTTATTGTGTTTGTTCTGGTGAGCATACTCATTCCCTTCAGGCTTTTTACAGTAATCAGTCTTTTCAGAGAAAATGCAGTGTTTACATTTCAGCCTAGGGATACATCCACTGGCCACTCCTCAGACAGCTACTAGAGGTGCTTCCTGGGACAGTGCTGCACAGTGTGCATCACTGAAATTCAGTTTATCCACCCTCTGAATAGAGAAACTAAACTTTCCACATAGAGATGCATTGATTCAATGCATCAATACAATGCATCTCTATGAGGAGATGCTCATAGGCCAGGGCTGTGTTTGGCTAGTGCTGGCTCTGCCCCTGAACTGCCTGCTTGACAAGCTCAGTCAATCCAATGTGAAAGCATTGTGATTGGCTCAGAACACCACTTCTGATGATGTCAGCCAAGCAGGCAGATCAGGGGCAGAGCCAACAGCAGTAGACTGCAATAAAGGTAAGATTTTGCTATATTTAGAGGGATAAGTGGCAGCCAGGGAGGGCTGGATAATTATTTTAACACGATAGGGCAATGTTTGTGTTCCTGACCCTATAGTGTTCCATTAACCATCTTAATGAGCTTAATGACAGATCATTAGGACACATTGGAAAGCAGCAATCATGTGTACTTGCAATTTCAGCACTGAAGCTTCTCATTGAAAGAGGGGAAAGATGGGGAGGATTTGCAAAAGAGCAGGTCTGCTGCTTTGCAAGTTGTATTTTTTTTTTTTATATGCTCTCTTTTTGCAGGTCATCATTTTGACAAATATACAGCATGTGAAGACATTGAATGAGGTGCATATCAAAATATAATATAAACAACTGTGACTGCAACACATGGGCATATTCGACCCAATTTTAAGTTTTATTGCTATACAATCCCCTATTGCTGGACCAGGTGAGGCGTAACTATAAACAGAGGGTGCAGGTAAAGGCTGAGTATGCCCCAGGGGAACCTAAGCTGGAACACTACATAGGGTGTTGTGGTTTCGAACAATATTAAACTAACATAACATAAAATGAGTAAAACATGTAAATGAGAGACATACGTTGGCAGTCACTCCTTTCAGGTATGTAAATCAACTGTAACAGATACAGCTAGTTGGGGTATGAAAGGAGTAATTCCCTCCACCGACCAGGTGGGTCGTGCCGCCGATAAGACTGGCATCGCCAATAGATCCAGTGCTTGGAGAAAATCAGGAACTTCAGATAGGTGTGACAGGTGGTGTGGCTTGCCAGCTTTGTCAACCGTGAGACGGTGTGGTCCCCATTTGTATGGAATGGCGTTTTCTCTCAGTAGTTGTGTGACTTTTCAAAAGGACCTATGCCATGTCAGTGTTTGCCTGGAGAGGTCTCCCATGAGGATTCCCCTATCAGAATCTCGTGCAAGTTTGAGTAGCACATCTTGAACAGTACCCTGAGGCACGTTAGCGACTTTAGGAAGGCAAAAGCAGGAATCGTTCACTAGTAGCTTGTTTTGCTTAGATGTCAACAACGTGACGATGAGCCTTCTGAAGTAGTGTGGGAGTTTTGCATTGGTGATAGCCTCAGGTATGCCGTGTATTTGCATATTGTGTGCTTTAACTTTATCTTCCATATTAGCCATTTGCACTGTCAGATCAGTGCAGCGTGTTTGTAGTGCGCTAAGTACAGCATCGGTTGCCGTTTGCGCTAGCCTGGTGTCCCCAACATCTTTCTCCACTGTGACAATAAGGTTAGCAAGGGCTGAAACTTCCTCTCTGACCTTTGACATATCATCCTGGAACATGGCTCTAATGTTCAGTATCAAAGCTTTTATGTCAGCCTTGGTGGATGGTGCAGAGTCACCCATCTCTTGAGACATCTGTACCACTGTTTGTACCTTCGGGAGAGTTGGCAGGTCTGCAAAGAGGCTTTCGTCGTGCGATGTCTGTGAATAGTAGGCCTCTGCCGGCACCATCTTGGAAGGCTCAGGCCGCGCGACCGAACGCATAAAGGCTCCGGTATCTCTGGAGCCTGAGCCTGGATCTGCTGGCTGCTTCTTATTTTTCTTCCCCATAGCCTTTGACCTCTGGGCTGCTGCTTCAGACCCCGGTATCTTGGCTGAAAACACTGGGATATTAAGTTTGGTAAAGTAGAGGCACGGAGCTGCAGCTTTATGGGTCTTGCTTGTTTGGCTCCGTCCCCGCAAGTTGTATTTTCATATTCCCAAAGAAAAAAATGCATGCATGTTTTCTTATGGGGTATATCAACTAAGCAGTTAAAAAATCAGCAGAGTGTTCTTTTAGTCAGTCAATGTGCAGCACCAACAAAGGAAGTAAGTGCTAAACAAAAAACAAAACAAAAGATGCTAGTTATGCAGCAAACGATAGGTATGTTTTTAGGTCTTGGAAATTATTTGTGAAAATTTTTGTAAATGCATTTCTTTTGCAATATTATGTAAGCATAAAAAATGCCTTTCTTAACATCAATATAAAATAAAACACACAGACAATGCATCACATTGACAATTTACTCAAGTAAAACAATGTTAAGCTTGACCTCAATTGAATGTAGGCTTTTGCCAACAGCAAATTATAGTTAGGATATGTAAGCCAATAAGCATGGATGCCAAATAATTATTAACATATGTTTGAATTACAGTATATTTGCGGACAGTCTTTTCCCATATGAGATGAGTAAGAAAAAAGTAAATTTTTATTAAAAGTAGAGCTGTCAAAATACGCTTGTTTTTTAGTTTTTCAAAAAGTGCTTTGGGAATTTTGAAGTCTGAAATGAACAAAGAAGGGTATCAGCCGCAATTTACAACGTAAAGGGGGAAAAAGAAATACTGTTTGCACATTTAAAAGAGTCTTTGTCATATTTTTGTTTTTAAAATTAAAGTGGTTCTGACATCAGAAATGGTCTATGCAGACACGACATTCTAAAAACCCTCTACTCCTTAAGGGTTATTTACTAAAGCAGGAATTGCTTGGAATTAAAAGAAAATTCTAAATTAATTTTGAAGTTTAGGGCAAGACAGCTGACCTCTAGTATAACCTTCTGATCTATGATGGAACACAAATCAATTGGAAGATGATCCTTTCAAAAGTCCTATAATCTAATAAAGAGGAGCACTCCAATAACTTTGGACTGTTCCTTTAAACATAAGAAGAGTAGTAATTTTCACGATATTATTCTGCTTACCTGCTATGACCCACGACTGATACATTGTATGCATGCTGAGAGGATGCATCAAAACCCGTCGAATGCGGGAACGGGCAGGGTGAGTGTGACTGGATATTGGTAACTGAAACCTCATATCCCAGCAAGCCATGGTTCCACTGCTAGTACCTTAAACGTAATAGGAACATAAATATATATATATATTTCACATACATAAATATCAAAAATGCAACCTAAATTAAAAATAGTTTACATTGCAATGCAAACTAATAAGCCATGGAACAGGTCACGTCAGAAAAATTATTTTCCATGATTTTGCTATACCATTGAGTAAGCTTCCTTAACAAACTCCAAATTATAAATATAGTCAATGCATCCTTATCTAATAGTAACAAAGTTTTTAACCAGGATGCGAAAATCGAAGTAATGATTGATGAAATGTAAAATAAAAAAGCAGCTTTATAACGATCCCACAGAATACTACTATTCAGCTACTACTGCAAATTCAGCCTTACCTATACAGAGCCAGCACTGATGTATATCCACGGCAAATGACGTTATCAGTCCTAACCTCAGATCGTGCTTTAGAGTCCAGGCATTCGAGGAGGATCTCAGATCCCAACCAACCAGTGAGCCATTCACAGTAGCGTAGGCTAATACAGACTGTGATCCAGCATTAAATTGATGCATATCCATCACACAGCCATCTTGCTTCAAATCCAAGCTTCTATATAGGTGTTACCAGAATAGTATTCAGTTGAAAATTTGTTCAATAACAAGTTAAGGCAACAAATAAAAACAACCTAAAAACAGTTGTTTAACAGCTATGTACTAGTATGGCAGTAAATTTACTACATTACATTTGGATAACAAGGAGAAAGAAAAAACTATGGAATACATTATTTTGATATAGAGTATGAAAATAAAGAATTAGAAAAGTATTGGTAATCCGTTTTACTGTCAGTTGTTGACTGCATTTTGCTAAAAGAGTAATGTGAAGAACTGTGATGTTTGTTAAACTCTTGGTAAAATAACTTGCCTAGTTTAACATGCATACTCAACTGGTTTTTCCACTGATATATAAAATTAAATATTAAAAAATTAAAAGACTTCTCTGGCTACTTTCAGAGAACACTGGAATGCCATTCACAGGACTCAGTCAGCCATGAGTGGCTGACATAAGAATCCTAAACAGCCGCATTACTAGTGAAAAGTAGATCGGTGTCAGGTAGCATTGTTTTAGAGGTGTTATAGTGAAATTTGTCCTGCTTTACTACTTCCCTTTCCTACAACATGAGTAGAGACTTGTGATGTGTCTGCTAGTAAGGCAAACCATTAAGGTTTCCATTGCAGAGAAATCTTCTTTATGAGATGGGATACAGATTTTATACTCGGCCCCGAGAATCAAGGTGTCGTTCTACAGCTAGCCTTGACTACTGTAGTAAAGTCTAACATTCTACAATTCTTTAACAATCATTTAGAGACAATAGATGGTGTCTGCATTGGTCTTTTAGAGAGATGAATTTAGTAGTAATTATTAATTATTCTTTATTAGTAATGATTAATTATCCTTTCCTGACACTTATACCTCTTTTCTATCAATAACTTGGCAGGGTTAGCCCCATTTCTGTCTGTGACTGACAACAGGATCATTAGATCACTTTATTTTTTGCACGGTCACAATTAGCATTCACTTTGTTCCAATAAATGAGATGTCTACTGCATTTTATATTCTCTCAGAAATTGGTATGTGTCATTTCCCCCTTAGCTATGTGTTGACTTTTTGTACCATTTCCATGCAGATCAGCCAGTAACTAGTCAGTCCCTGTTTTTGACTGAGAACAGAGGTCAGTGTGTGTCAGGGCAGTTGCATAACACATATCTCGAAACACTGAATGGTCACTAGTTTGGTTTCTGTTGAGGGAGTTTTGGGTATTTTGTTATTGAGTCTAAATATAAGAAGTAAAAAAAAATGAATTTATAACAGAGAAAAAGGCAGGATCACAGTAGCTTATCATTTGTTTAGTCCAAGTTCAAGTCTCTTACAAGTTTTAGGTTTTTTTTTCTGATACTGCAGAGGGAACCTATACAATCTGTATATCACACTGATCCTTACTCAAAACGGAATTCTACATACAAAAATACTAGCTAATCCAGTGATCATTTCAAATTTAACTGGGCTTCATCCATGAGCTGTAGCTGATAGAGACAGCAAGAGGTCTACAACTAGATTACTCTAACATTCTACAATTCTTTAACAATAATTTAGAGACAATAGAACATGTTTGCATTGGTCTTTTAGAGAGATGAATTTAGTAGTAATTATTAATTATTCTTTATGAGTAATGATTAATTATCCTTTCCTGACACTTATACCTCTTTTCTATCAATAACTTGCCACGGTTAGCCCCATTTCTGTCTGTGACTGACAACAGGATCATTAGATCACTATTTTTTGCACGGTCACAATTAGCATTCACTTTGTTCCAATAAATGAGATGTCTACTGCATTTTATATTCTCTTAGAAATTGGTATGTGTCATTTCCTCCTTAGCTATGTGTTGACTTTTTGTACCATTTCCATGCAGATCAGCCAGTAACTAGTCAGTCCCTGTTTTTGACTGAGAACAGGTCAGTGTGTACAACTAGATTACTCTTAATTGAAGATGTGACAAATGTACTAAGGGAAGAGTGTTCCCCGAAGCAATATCACAAACTTTACACACAAGAGCTTAATACTATTTTCTAACTCTGTATCTAAACATCTTGTATCTACATATGTCTCCAAAGAATTACCCATCTCTGATGCTTGCTACTTATGAGATTTAGTACTAAAGGATGAAAAACCTTTAAAATTATTTAATCTGTTGATAGAATATGAACAATGGATTAAATGACTGAAAACTGTTTTAGTGCATTGTGTCAGTGGTTGCCACGGTAACAAATCATTTCGTCTTTAGAAGCATTGTTTTCTTGCATGTTCTAAACTACTTCAGTGGCCAAGCTGACAATCAACTTTGTCCTGAAATAGCTATGAACACGGTAAAGTGATACTGCCCTGCCAATTCTATGGCTTTACCCTGTTCAAAGTTTGAGAATGGTGGAAATCTGACACCTTATGTTAAAGCTAAACAAGAAGTTAACAAAATTGTACATGCACAAAATCACGTTGAGCAGGGAAAAAAAAATACCTGCTTTGGAGCTGATGGATTTTTGGAGATTTAGGAGGTTTAGATGCTTCAATAGAAAGAAGCTGGATGTTACCATTATCTGAAGCCACAGCTAAATAATGTGATCCCTGGCAAAAAGCCATTGTCTTAATACGTCCCCCGATGCGAGAATACGTTATAATTGATCTACAATGCAAATACAAAAAGGTGAGCTTTAGCAAATAACTTACATAGTAAAATTTTCAGAGTCTGTATTTTTGAAAAAAAGCATTTTGAGAAACGGTCATCACTTACATATTTTCCAACTAGGGTTTTTTATGTGTGTTTTAAATTAATAAAAATAGGCTTAAGGACAGCACGATGGTATATGCAGTGCAGGGCTTTAAGCAGTAAAGGTACAGTAAAGCAGTAGGGATAAAACCCTTTAAATCCCTGCTCTTACCAAGGACCCCTCCCTCATGTTTTTAAAGATACAGTTAGAGGCCCCAGACTGATAGATGAGCTATATGCAGAGCTTAAAGTGAGCGCTGCTCATAGCCCTATAAAATTAATTTACAATATTCTGCGATCGCACTGTCACAGTAAATTTAAAGCCCCCCAGGATTAGAGGTTGGATTAGGAACATCATTGGTAATAGAATTAGGGGAAATGTATACATATGGGGTATGATTGTAGAGAATACAAATATGGGGTGTTTGCATAGCATCTGAAAAAAACCTAAGTCCTTAAGGGGTAATGGATGAATAATGTAAATAATGTTTTTATTTTGCAATGCCTATTTATAAATACACAATTCAAGAATAGTTCTAGATTCGTCCAGAGCATATTCTAGGTTAGTAAAAACATCACATTATGACATGATAAACTATAATGAAGGAAAATAAACTAAATCTCTTCACAGAACACACATTTCACAGTCAGATTTTAAACATCAGCAAATATTTGAGTCAATCATATAAATGTTTGCACCTTGTTGTTGTTGTCTTTCCTTCCATTTTTTGGCTATTCCAGATTTTTACAGTTCCATCATTGGAGCAAGTGGCAAAAATAGAATGCTCATCTGAGACTCTTATTCGGTTTACTGGACCTTTATGTTCATGCAGATGTGCCACCAACAGACCCTTAGGATGCCACCCTGAAAAGAGAAACAAATAACTATGAAACAGCTTTGTGAAAGCATATATACTTTTATTTAACTTTCCTTTGTAAGAGGCATACCATGAGCACTTTACCCAATGTAGTGCATTGTAACCGTTTAGGTGCGACGAGTCTTCTAATGTCATACCAGGTTAAGCAGTCAAATTGTTAAGGAATTGTTTGACACCTTACCTTACTCGGTCAGGTTCCAGAAAGCCATGTGTATGAATTCTAAAGGAAGACCTCAAAACCCTAAAACACTTTAGCTTGCTGAAAAGCTTTATGTGTGAAGAGTGTGTCCTATCTTTTCATTTTGCAGAAAGTGCAGATTTTAAAAGAAACTGATGCTTTGACAAATTAAACTGGTTACAACAACCTGGCTTTCAAGGAAACAACAGGTCTTAGCACTTCCTGGTTTGGTTAGCTTAGTAAAGATAAACTCAAAAGGCAGCAATTGCCCAGAGCACCTGTCCTGCAAAGACATTTCATTGAGCTGCATTGGATTGTCTGTGATTGGACAGCCATATAAAGTTTGGGCAGGGTCAGAAGGGGAGGGCATGCAAAGGCTACAGACATGAGAACAGTAGGTTTTGCAAGCTGTTTTTAGATATACCCCAATGGAAAATGCATAATTAAATGTATGCACGTTTTCGATAGGGGTATATCTACTAAAAAGTGATTTTTTAAAATGTATTTTGTATTTGGGCGATGCATCGTCCCTTTAATGAGTTTGAAAAACTGATCAGAATAGATGAGACAGCCAATACAGTGTAAATTAACATAAATTGTACAAAAGTGTACCTGTAGGTGGTGGTTTGCTCTCCCATTCAGCAGTCTCCATCATATATTTGGCTAATCTTTCTGCATTGCATTGCTCCCTCTTCTGCTGTATGAGCTGCTGGAGTTCACTTTTACATTGAGCCATGCGTTGGAATGCTGCAGGAGCAAATGTGCTGGTATAGATTTGCATGGTGGGCCTCCTTGACTGGGTTACCATTCCTTCTGTTGCCTATTCAACAAAATGAAAACAAAAGTATAAACATACAACTAAACGTCCACGGCAAAATGTCCACCCAAAAAAAAAACAAAAAACAATTGAATGTTTATGGGAGTTGTGGTCAGCAGTCAGATTTTATACACTTGAAAGCAGACATATAAAGAAAAACATCAAGAAGCCCCTGCTATATGGTACATTAGGGTTGGCTGAACTACTTCATGGTTTGGAGAGAAAATGCTGCATGGATCTGCAAGTTATAGGATATCAATCAATTTTAAATCTTTCTTGACAACTTATGATTTATATTAATCTTGACATGGGGTTAGATACATTTTGTCACTGGTCATTAGGATGTTAACAAATGTCAAATTCATAGTAAATATGCTATTATTGTCCTAGGCTCATTGGAAATAATTTGTGATCAAATAGCAACAGAGATATATAAATTTGCAAGACTGAATCATGCCTAGACAGCCAAATGTAGGTTGCACACTCACTGTTATTTAACTAGTCCCAACACCACATTTGTACCTGTCCAGGCCATGTACAATTTTATTTGACACAGAAATTGTAACTTGGCAAGTGCTCTAGTAAAAGTTTCCAGGTGTTTTTGCTTTCATCATCTGATATACCTGTGGTGAGGACGATAAAGGAGCCGAAAGGGCAGCAGACGATTCTGTGTGAAGAGGCTTTCCAGATTCCTGCTCAGCAGGTGGCAAGGCTCTAGGTGCTGCTGCTGCCGGGTTCACATTGGACGGTTCCATTGCTCCAAACATGCTTCTCCACTCTTCATTCACATTGGAATCTTGCTTAACATGTTTCCGAGCTTTAAAAAAAAAAGCAGCAGAACTTATTTTTAACACATTGTTCTGATCATTAACTTCCAGACAGATAGCTAAATACGATTTGTAAATGTATTATACGCGAACATAACACTCTGGGGGGGATAAACTATTTAACCCCATACATGCCTGCTGGGCTGGTATGAAATAAGAGTCTTTTTGCAGCTGCAAGCAAACTATTATACAGTACATTGAAGGAAACTTTAAATGTATTCATCTATTTTTTTCATGCATTAGCACCTTTAGGAACATTCTAATAATAATAATGCCCAATTTCTTGCAATATTCATATTCTCTCTGTATCTGATTAAAAGGACACTAACCACCACAACAATCTCTGCACTTTTCAAAATTTGCTGCAGCTTTAAGTCTGCTCTCCCACACTTCCATATTGCAATATTCTTCCTCTATTCCAAATACAAATATGCAAAATCACTGTGTGTCCTAATTATTTGAAATGCTATAATCACGTACAGCGTTTGTCTTCTGTGTCCAGTTTCGTTTTAACAAGATCAGCTTGTCTACCGCTTAGACCTAAAGATGGCAAGTCGATCACACCTTTATTAGCACTTTCATAGAGATGGCTCTGTTCTGCTAAACTTGCTTTGGCTCTGTTGGACTTTAACATAAAGTCTTTTAGTGCTAAAAGCTTATCTTCTTCTTCTTCTGTCATCCCCTTGGATGAAAACATAAATAAGCACATAGTGAGCCATTAATAGAACACCAGAATTGTTATATTGACTGCAACTATACTTCACATATTGTGTACATATTATAAGCATGTCAACACACTAAATAACTCTTCTATTGCATGCAATCATTGTGTATATGTCTCAAATGCAGATTACATAGGACAGGGTTATTTTAGTAACAATGATCGAGGTTAAGGATAGGAGCATTCCATTCCCACAAGAGTGTTAAGAGTGTTTCTGCACCCACCAAAGTTACAGACCACCCACTGCATGACAGGCACCTTAGGCACAATGTGTTCATGCCTAATACGCAAAAAAAAAAAAAATTCATTCTTGTTTTAAAAGGATTTCTTTAACTAAAGATATTCTGCCAAAATATGTAAACAATTAACAAAGACTGTAGCTGCATTAAACTAAGCATGTTTATTACTAACATTTAATGTTGTACCTGTGATAAGAGCTTTTTCAAAAGCTGAGCAATTGCTGGATCATCGGGAGGTGGGCATTCTTGGAGAGTCCCATGTCTCTTCTTCTGGCGCATCTGAAGGTGTCTGAAGAGGCTTGCGATGTCTTTTGCTCTTAATGCATAATCAAATATAGAGCGGTTCACAGGCTCTTTCAACACACTCAGCAGGACAACTTCCTTCTCTATCTGATAAATCAGATGTGATTAAACCAGGACTTGACAAATTTGCTTTCAATTTAGGAGCCATTTTTTCCTCTAACGACAAAAATACAATTCTTAAAGGAACACTATAGTCACCAGAGCCCCTACAGCTTAATGCCGTGGTTCTGGTGTCTAGAAGCCTGTCCCTGCAGACTTTTCAATGTAAAAACCGCCTTTTCAATGAAAAGGCAGTGTTTACATTGCTGCCAAGTAACACCTCTAGAGGCTGTCACTCAGATGGCCACTGAAGTGTCACCTATCTCAGTGCTGCACAATGTGCAGCACCTACATTCAGCATTTCCACGCTGTGCATGGAGGCGCTGCATGTTCCTCATAGAAATGCTTTTAACTGATTTAATGCATCTCTATGAGGAAATGCTGACTGGCAATTGATGATCTCAGTTATGGAGGCGGGCCAGCTCTGGCGAGACTGGCATGGCGCTGGTATCAAGATGAGTAAAAACATAATTCCCATGCGATTGGAGGAGGCTGGTGACCTAAACATACACATTCATTGATAGACACCTGGACTGACGCACACACAGACAGAGACACACACACTGAGATGGTCAGACACATGCACAGTGAAAGAGACAGTCAGGCACGCACACGCACACACACACTGACAGACATTCAGACACACTCACAAAGTACTATTAATACACTCAAATATATACACACACAAATATTCATACATACACACAGACAAATACACAGAGACATACACATGACAGATGCACAGATTTTTTTTTAATTTAAATTTTTTTTAAAATACATATTTTTTTAGTCACCCTCCTGTTTCCTACCTTTTGAGCTCCGGAGGGTGGCTTCCCTGGTATCTAGTGGGATTAGACAGCAGCAAGTTACAGGTTAGTGGGGTTGGCTGCGGCTGATGGGACTGGGCAGCGGCTGTTCCAGACTCTCTCCTTTCACCTCCTCACTGTCACAACAGCTCTCTCTGTGTGCCGTGAGGAAGTCAAGGGAACTGTAATAACTTCCTCCCAGCGCGGAAGTCACGCAGGAGAAAGGACTAGTTGCCGGTATTCCATCGGCTTTGCGGGAGGCATACGGGGAGCAGGGTCAGGTATGTGGCATGGGGACGGCATGTGGGCGGGTAGCAGAGTCGAGAATGGGGTCGGGAGGAGTGCGGGGAGCAGAGCTGTGTTTACCTGGTATCCTGCCAGTTAAGATTGCAATTTCCCTGCACGGGGATTGAGACAGAAGGAGGAGGGAGCCGGCTGACCAATCCCAGATGCTAGGACAAAATATTTAGTCGCCATGACGACCAGGATTTGTCGAGCCCTGGATACTGTTTTAGGGCTGAACTATTTTACACTGAACACTTCTTAGCACTCCAAGGATGTGCCACCGAATGAGTGGCTGTCAGACTTTACTGATATGAAGTGAAAAGCCTTCAAAAGGCAAAGTGGGGAAGGTATAGGGCAGGGGTAGGCAATCTTTTAGCAGTACTGTGCCGATATAGGATTGTGATGTCCCGTAGCGTGCCGGTCCTGTTTTTTTAAATTGAGGTGTGTATGCTGCCATATTCTGCTTGTGTTATTTACACTGTAATTGCTTTGTATTTTTGTATTTGTGCATATATGAGCTATCATATTGTATATGTTCATTAGTAGTTTGTGGTATCATGTATGATACAAATGAATGTGGGCTGTGTATGGGGGCTGCTTGTGGAATTGTGTGTGTGAATGGATATATCACATTGTGTGTTTGGTGGTGTGTGTATGTATGGGGCTGTTTGGGGTATTGCATTGAGAGGCTGCATGTGGGGTTGTGTGCATGTATGTGGATTGTTAGCGGGTTATGTTTGTGCGGAGTGTGTGTATGTGTGTGTGTGTGGGCTGTTCGTATTATTTGTATGAGGGGGAGGGTTATTCTGCATTTCTGTGTATATCTAGCACTGTGGGTGGCTTCCCTGGGTTCCAGTGGGGACCAGGCTGGCCAGGTACAGGTCAAAGACAGGAGCAGTAACAGCAGCTGCAGGTTGCTCTACTACAGTGTGGATTCCCATTCACAAGTGCTGGGAGGAAGTAATCTGAAATCACTTACTCTATGTGCTGCAATGCATAAATTGAGGATTGTCCTTCACCACCTTTTCGTATTAGCAGATATTTGAAGTTTCACTGGGACTCCTGATAGGCCAGAGCCTGTTTGACTGTAGCAGCCTTGAGTGCCGTGCAAAGACACCTTGAGTGCCGTGCATGGCGCTAGTGCCGTAGGTTGCCTACCCCTGGTATAGGGGATCTATTTAAGGTTCTTTGTATTGCGAGCCTCTAAAGCATACTTTGCCCAGATATATTTCCCAATAAGATTTACTTGGGGAAAAAAGTGAAAAAAGAGAACTATAACCCTACCAGAGCATATTAAATCTGATTTCAGTGTGAAGTCTCTGAAACATCTGTCTTCATCTACTTTCAATCAAAAAGCAACTGCACTCTTTGTTCATTTCAAATTGTACTGTGTTTTATATGTTTGCAATTAAATGCGCAACATTGTATTTGAAAGTGCTCTCAAGAACATTCTTGGATACAAGAGAAATCTCAATGTATCCATCCCGGGGAAACAGCTGGTATACAAACTAAAATATATGTCTCTTTAAAACTTGAACTCTTTCTTTTTTTATGAACAAATACATTGATGCAAAATAAGCTGATCTGGAAAGCCATGGTTACAACTTGACAATCTTGGCCTCGGTTTTGCAATTTCAGCAATTAATTCAGATGATTTGAAAAGAAAAACGTGAAAAGAAAGTTCATTGAACATGTTTCATACCTGCAGAATTGGCTCAATGATGAAATGATGGAGGTAGGGCATCAGTCTACAGTATACATCTGCTATGTTTAATTGCTGTGCAACTGTAGTGATAAATCCAACGGCACCATAACGGATCCACAAGTTTGGATGGCACAAAAAAGGTGCTATAAGGACAAATATATACAAAAATCTGAGTTTTTGTGGCATTATTTTAAACATATATGCTAATTTAATTCTAAAGGTACATCTATTGCTATACAGGTTTGGTCAAATTTTGATTACAACACAGAAAAAAAAAAAAATGTACTTGCCATACATTGTAAGTGATCATTTTTCATTACATTCAGAGCTTAAGTGGTAACAAATAGTAAAATATAAAAAAAAAGGTTTGCAAGAAAATGTTTACATAAAATAAGTATTTAAATAAATATCCACTTGCATCCTCGCAGTTTGTAAGTAGAAATTAAGCCCATGTAAGTGCACAAGTGTTCGGTCTGAAAACCCAGAACATCAGATGGTATGTAGCTCCTTCCTCCCATGCTAACTCTCCACATTAACTACACAGTGTGGCACCTCTTTCTGTCCCTAGAGTGTGCTATGGCTTTCTGCCTTGCCAGCACACCACAAATTAATCTGCAGTGGACCTGAGCGTCCTCCCCCATCCAACCGGACATGAAAACAAACTTGAAAAACTGCTCTGGGATCAAAGAACACCAACCAGATGGACTATACATTCCTCAATGGTGACTTAAAAGTGTTAAATAAAATGGCCATCTATAGAATCCATAACTACTCTGTCCTTAAAACTTTACTATTCTTTAAAACTGTTTTCTTGCATTGTAACTCCATAACTAAATTTTTTTATTTCCCCAAGCTCTGCACTTTCTGTTCTCTGACCATTTAAGGAACACTGTAGACACTAACTGCTGCATCTCATTAAAGTGGTTACAGTGTCTAGAGTCCCCTGGCACCATCCTCCATTCATTATTAAACCGTATGTAATATGTTAATGTTATACAAACGTTCCCAAAAGCTCACTGTCCGTCTGTGCTGCTCAAGCTCATGAAGAAGCATTAGGAGGAGAAACAATAGTAAGCTGTGACACTTTTAGAATATCAGCGCACATTCAGGTATGAATTGGTATGGCAGAATGAAGTATGTAATCTCTGCCTCAGCCACACCAGAGTGCGGGAGGATATATGGGAAGGCAGGGACACTATTTCAGTGTTAAACTGCTCGAAAATTGCTAAAGTTGTTTAAGATAACATTGCTTTTATGCCTAAAGTATCCCTTCAGACCATTCAAAGAACAGCTTAGCCCCAAAATCTGTGCTATAGGTCTGGGTGACTTCTTCCACCTGTTCTTCCACTTTCTGGAATCCTAGACAATGGATGGCTCGGGCAGCTTGGCTGCAAAGTGACAGCTCAAGAGGAGAGACGATTATAATCAAAACACTGTGCAGCAGACTGCAGCTCCTACCAAGCAAAACTCCTGCTATACACAGAGGTTCTGCATGGTGTGAATGAATCGTGATATTGTGGTTCTTTTCCATGCAGACAGGCTTAAGTATGAGTGGTAAACAAAATAAACTGATGTTTTATGTTATGTCCTATGATTATGTCAGCCATTTCTGCAATTGTGTAGATTGTATCTAGTATGCAAAGCAATAATCCATATAATGTTAAGACTTCTGAAATATTATAAAAATAGCAACCAATATACAGTGGGACCTCGGTTAACGAATTTAATGCGTTCTCCGGGACGTTTCTTATTGCGAAAAATTTGTAAACCGAAACACGGTTTCCCATAGGAATGCATTGAAAGCCAATTAATCCGTTCTGGAGGTCAGAAAAAAGTCAAAATGAGCTAGCATGGAAACCAACCCACAATGCAGAACACACAATAAAAGGCATGGAAACGAAGAAGCTCCGCTCCCTACCTTTCCACAGCTTGAGAAATACACCAAAAAGTCCCAAAACAACTGCAAATAATTTCCAGAATGGCTCCAAAATTCAATGCAAAATCCATTTCAACACCTCCACACTCGACGCCACGTGCTACCCACAGGCTCCAGCATGGAGGGCGCAGTGCTATAAACCTCCAAGGTGCAATGCATCCTGGGGAAACTTGCTTTGTATTGCGAAAAATTAATTGTAAACCGAGGCATTATTTTCAATGGATTTTCATTTGTAAACCGAAAATCATGTTAACCGAGGCGTTTGTAAACCGAGGTCCCACTGTATTTATAAAGACAGATAATGTAAATGTCAACAGTGCAATTCCAGTAACCATAACATACAAAACGGTGAAATGTTACACATACCAACGTCACAAGCAAATTCATAGACGTGTGGCTTCTGAAGGAGTCCCAGTTGACACATGCAGGTCAAAGCATTAAGAGCTTTAAAGATCACAAACTCTTCAACATCACTTTGACCTTGTTGGAGAAGCGGCTTTAAGATAGATGAGCTCTGCCACCCCACATATGCCGCAACACCTGAAAAGAATGAAAAGCCTTCAATGCACAGATCATGTGAACCAGTACAAATTGCATTTGGCTTTATCCAGAACTTACAATTGGAAAAGTGTTTAACCCCTTCAGCCCAGCGAGAGTGGGACCATGAGGGTGGGGGGGGACCTATTAATACTATAGAGGCATGAAAAAAAGTTTGTTTTCCTGGCACTATAGTGGTCCTTTAACCTCAAATACCTAATGTGCAAAAAAAAAAAAAAAAATGCTTGTTCAACATGTTATTTTGTTTATATTTTGCAAGAATACATGGTGCCTTCAACCATTTGTCTGCTGGTATAACATACTTTTAGTACAAAAGACCTGTGCCTTCAACCACTTCTTTTTTAGTGTTTTAAATAAGATTCAGATGAGTACAGAATATCTACTTGCGAAGCATAAATGTGAAAAGGTCTCTAACAATCTTCTTCTCCCAATACATTAATTCAGTTTTATACTTCCACAAAAAAATGAAAATAATATAAGTCTTTAAATAAGTGACATGGCTGATAAACATCAAGACAAAACGACCCTACCCCTGATCCACCTTTCCCTCTTTCAGGATCTGTTCTAAATTTCTTCCGGTCTACTATAGTTGTCTTAAGAAAAAGTAGGGACTATTTCTCTTCTGGAGGTTTCCTACTCAGTGACTAGCGGTGACCAGTGGAGGAGCAAAGTATGCTTCGTTTCCGGTGGTCACAGCAATTTTCCCACAATCCTTACCTTTCCTCCCTGTTCCCGCGATGCTTCCGGTCACTTAGACAGGACGCAGGCAAAACTGCCGAATTGCGTTCTAACAGTTTCTTCATTCGTGTTAGAACGCAATTTGGGACTTTGTTCGTATCGGAATTTCATTTGAATGAATTAAACTCTGATCCTTTTCATTGCCGCGGCTGCAACTTGCAGCCGCTTAGTAGATAACTTCCTAATTCCCACGGTATTAGGGAGCTATCTACTAACAGGCTGAAAGACCTAAATTGGTTTATATTTTGCAAGAATACATGGTGCCTTCTACCATTTTTCTGCTTAGGTATAACATACTTTTAGTACAAAAGACCTGTGCCTTCAACCACTTCTTTTTTAGTGTTTTACAGAAGATTCAGATGAGTACAGAATATCTACTTGTGAAGCATAAATGTGAAAAGGGCTCTAACAATCTTCATTCATGCAGTTTTATACTTCCACAAAAAAATTAACATAAAAAAAAAAAAAAAAAAGTCTTTAAATAAGTGACATTCGTGTTAGAACGCAATTCGGGACCTTGTTCGTATCGGAATTTCATTAGAATTAATCAAACTCCGATCCTATTCATTCCCACGGTATTAGGGAGCTATCTACTAAAAGTAAATGATCTGCCCCTACTCACTATACCGCGAGTTTAGTAAACAGTGAGCAGCCTGTGGCTGCTCACTGTAAAAAAAAAAAAAACAGAAAAACACACCACTACTGTCCTCCCTCCGGCCCCCACCCCTGCGCGGAGGTGGGGGCCATAAATTACAATGGGGGGGAGGGGGGTGAACACCTACTGTCCTCCCTCCCCCCTCCCCGGTCCCCACCCCTGGCTAAGAACACTGATTGGTTGTTTTAAGCCAATCAGAGTGCTCTTTGTCATTTTACACAGCGTGTTAACATTCAAAGAACTTTCCCACACTGTGTAAAATGACACAGAGCACTCTGATTGGGTGGCTTGAAATACATCCAATCACAGTGCTCTGTGTCATTTTACACAGGATGGGAAAGTTCTTTGGAATTTTCCCACGCTGTGTAATTTGACTCATAACACTCTGATTGGTGGGGTTGGAATCTAACCAGAGTGCTTTGTCATTTTACACAGCATGTACTCAGAGTGTTCTTAGCCCAATTGCAGGGCGGGGCAAGGCTTTATAAGCCTTCCCCCGCCCTGCAGAACTCAGTCTGCGCAGAGCCCTCCATGGGTGAAGAAGGATTATTTTTTTTTGCACTCTGGTTTTTTCTTTTTCGTCTGGGTTTTTTTTTGCGCTCGGGTTTTTTATTTTATTTTAAGTTCGACGGATATGATGGTTTTTTATTTGTCCTTTTTTGGGGCTAAAAAATGAAGATTTTAGAAAAAAAAAAAAGACGTCAAATGGTAAGTTTAATTTTTCTTTACAGGTTAGTTATTTTATTCCCCCCTCACTATTTTTTAGGGTGAGGGGGGTAGGTAGGGGGAAACTTTTTTTTGGTGGGGGGGTGGGTGACTAGGGGCTTGGGGACCCCTACTCACCTTTAATGGGGGGGGGGGTGGTAGATTTGTCTTAGGGCCAACACCCCCCGCCCAGGGGTGGGGGAGGACAGTAGGTTCCCCCCTCATTATCTTTATGGCCCCCACCTGCCTCCCAGGGGTGGGGAGGACAGTAGGTTTCCCCCCCATTGTAATTTATGACCCCCACCCACCACGCAGGGGTGGGGGGGGAGGAGGACTGTAGGTTCCCCCCTCTCATTATCTTTATGGCCCCCACCCACCACTCAAGGGTGGGGGTGGGTGGAGAGGTCAGTAGGTTCCCCATTGTAGTTTATGGCCCCCACCCACCATGCAGGGGTGGGGGCCAGGGGGTGGACAGTAGGTCCCTACCCCTTATTGTTATTTACGGCCCCCACCCGCCGCACAGGGGTGAGGGCCGGATAGTAGTTTTTATGTTTTGTTTTTTACAGTGAGCAGGCTGCTCACTGTATAGTGGACATGCCCCTTCTCGCGGTATAATGAGTAGGGGCATTCGGGAGATTTTGATCTCCCTTATGCTATTATGGGGGTCATATTGACCCCCATAGAGTGAGGGAGGACATGGGGGCTTATGAAGTGGTGGGGAGCACTGCTCCCTGCCGCCTCTATCTTTACATATTACAAGGAGGGAGCTGCGCGCCGGTAGCTCCCTCCTTGCAATAAACTGCACAAACTTGCAATAAACTGCACAAACAAACGAACACTGATATACAGTGTTTGTTTGTCTGACAATGCTATTCATTCATTTGTCTTTCTGATGAATGAATAGATGAAATTCCCGTTCGCATGTCCAAGTGTTTCACTGGGCATGTGCGGGAATCTCAGTCTGTCTAGTGTGGGCAAATGACGTGTCCCATAGGGACTTCATCTACCCACACAAAGATGGTGGCGCCCTGAATATAGATCGGGGCAGAAAATTAGGGGCATTTGGGGGTGACTAGGGGGTCAATTAGATGTAGTGGAGGCGGGAGGGAGGTTAAAAAAAACGGGATTCGGCCATGACAGTGCCGCTTTAATGTAGGCAAAGAGCATTACTTACACTAGTCAGCCTTGGTTGCTAGGTCTACAGAAACAAAGTCATTTAACTTCTAAATGGGCAGAAAACTAAGCAGTGAGACTACAATGGCATGATCTATACACCACACAGATTTCATTCAGCAAAAGTGGTTTTGGTGCTTAGAATGAAACTTCATGCATATCTCCTCAATGAGGTACAGATTTTAAGATGACAGAAGCAGACATTGCACTGATCCAGAGATATCTCTGAATAAAAGAAGTTACAAAGTACACTGTTTGCATGACACATCTAACCCAGAGGAATGTGTGCCTTTACATCATTTTATACAAGAAAGGGAAAGCAGTGCCTTTCATACATATGAGTTTTAAATGAAGACATAAAGGGGCACCCCATTGCTGAAAAAAACACCAAAACAATGATTAGTGTTTCGATTGAAATCTGCACTTTTGATAAATAAAAAAAAGACATACTCTTCACATGAGTCTGGAGTGTCACGTTAACCCCTTAAGGACCAAGCTTCCGGAATAAAAGATAAAAGGGAATCATGACATGTCACACGTCATGTGTCCTTAAGGGGTTAAAGGGACAGACCAAACCCATAAAGCATGTTAGCTTGCTGAAAGGCTTTATGGGTGTAGAGTGTGTCCTCTTTTTTTCCCCATTTTGAATAAAGTGCAGATTTCAATAGAAATTGTCACTTTTATAAATTAACCTGGTCCCCTGGCTTTCAAGGAGACAACAGCACCTATAGCTTCCTGGTTTGGTTAGCTCAGTAGAGTTAAACTCAAGAGGCAGCAATTGCTAAAAGAACCTGCCTTGCAAACCGTTCTCATTGAGCTGCATTGGAAAGCCTCAGAAAGTCTGGGTGAGGTTAGAAGTTGGATTACAAATGATGCAGAAAAGAGAACTGCTGGTTTTGCAAGCTGTCTTTATATATACACATCCAGTGAAAATGCATGTGACTTGATTTGGGGAATATCTACTAAATAGTGATATTTATTTTCTATTTGGGCACTTGAGTGTCCCTTTAAATGAGGTTTGAAGTCTTGAAATCCATGGATTGTCAACATGTAATTACCTACCAACAATGCTGTCAAAGAAAGCTCCACGGAGGTGCCAGTCATTCTTATCATTCAGAAAAGTGATCATGTGAGAAAGGAGGACATCATTTGCTTTTTGACGACCAAAGAAAACACAGAGTCTTGTTATGCCATTCTCCATTAAAGTCTGCTTCACAATATTCTCTGGGTCACTCAGCAATGTTACCACCTTTTGTTGAACCATTTCATGCAAAGCCTGCAGTTCTGTACAAAGGGAACTTAATGAGTTACTGTGAACATTAAATGGTAAACTTGCATAATGAGTCCCAACAGTTTATTTTTGCAGTAGTTTAAACAGCTCTGATTATGGACAATCCTGTGGTTTTACAGTAAAATAAAGTCACTGTCAGTAATTATGAATTGCCATACTATGTAAAGCAATTCTAAAAACATGCTTATCTTGTTAGATCTGTCACTTTTGAGCTTTTCTTAGAGATAGAATCATTGTGAAAATGTATTCTTCACTATTGGAATTTGACTACTTGCTCAAGAAATTGCCATCTTAAGTAAAAGGCACTGTTTCTGCCACTATTTCTGTTTGATTTAACATTTGATTGGATCTTACGGAGCATGTGCAACATTATCTATGGAAGATCTTGTGGTTTAATAGGATGCCTTCTTTCCCTATGTATTTCAACTGAATCTTCCAGACATGGGAGAAAAATGCCAGTTTGTATTTGGAGACCAACATTATTTTAGAAATTAAATTTCAAGGGACATTATGGGCACCAACAAAACATATGTTCATTTGGTCTTATTGATTGAACTCCCTGTTCAAATCTGTTTAGCATAAGTTAATTTGAAAAGCATTTAGAATGTCTAAAAATGTAAATAAGTAAATAAACAAATTACATGCACATTACCTGTGTCATAGTTCTCACTTGGATGTGACATCTCATCTATCTCTTCAATGTTTGGGTCATTTTCCATACTTAGGTTTTTCAGTTGCACCAACTCCAGAAATTTAAGTGCAGTCTCAGCCAGCAATGCAATGTTTTCTGTGCAAGAAAAGCACCACAAAAAAAGTAAAAGGAGTATCGAACAAGAAATACAGAGAGAAGCTTTGAGGACATACAGCACTTGTGTGGCAACTGCTGTGATCTGCCACTAGAGGCATGAAAATAGTAACTTGCAAACCATGTAATTTCTCAGAAACTGCACTATTTACAGCAGAAAGGCTATAGGGGCAGAATCTATTTCCTAAAATCACTTCATTAATAAGAAGTGATTTTGGTACTTAGACTGTCTCCTTAAGTAATTCCATCTGGTCATCCTTACCTGCATATGCCAATCTGACGATAGTGGCTTCATCTTGAGCCAAATGCGCTATTCCAGGCAAAATGTATTCCGGATAAATGTTGATGTCATTACGAGGCACTTCCTTGACAAGAGCAAGAACTTTGGTCAATATCCTCACAGCTTCTGCCTTTACTCTTGGAACAGAATCATTGCTGAAATGTAACAGGTATGGAGTAATACGGTCTAGTAAAATCTCAACACTTAAACGTGGAGCAAGGTGCAGCAGAAGCTCCAGGGCAGCAAGTTTAGAATCACAGTGTTTCAGTGTCTGCAAACAAGACGTTATCACAGAGACCAGGATAAGAAGTCCATTTTCCTTGGTTTCACTATCAGACTTCTCACATTGGTCATCGCCACAGAAATTGTGTATGATGTTGTCGAGATCTTTGCGTATAACAAGGATGCGCTCATCGGCAGAATGGAATGTTTCTTTAGCGAACTGCGCCATGTATGGCTGTAAAAATGTGTAAAATATTTCAGGGAACGCATTGCCCCTTTGTTGTTTCAAGTAGTCTTCAGCAGCCAACCGTTTCTCAGGTTCCCGACAGATCATCTGTGTTACCTTAAAAGGAAAATTGAAACAAAAGTCACAATTATTAAAAATAAATAAGTGCATTTTTATAGGAACAAGTTGATTAGGGTATTTGGCATCTCAAAGTAACGCTATTTAAAATATATGCAGAAGTAGTGTTGAGTAAAATCCATCCAGGCTCTCTGCATCACTTGACTAAAGCATATATTTTAGCACAGCACTTCAACTTTGAATGGCAACTATAGATTTATAGTGCATGGCTAACCCACCTCAATCAGTCTTTCATTTTTGCCCACAGTTAAATGGGCAATGCAGAGAACAGACTAGACTTTAGATGTCAGAGGAGAATTGACTTTTGTCAAAGAAGTCAAAATAAATGTAAACCAAACCAGGGAAGAGCACTCGAATATTCTTTGCTCCATAACCACAACAACAAGCTGTAGTGGCAATGGTGCTTAGAGTTCCCCTTTAACCTCTTAAGGACCAAACTTCTGTAATAAAAGGAAATCATGACATGTCACACGTCATGTGTCCTTAAGGGGTTAAATAATTTAATAACTGCTTGTGATATCTCTTTCCATGGCAGATGCACTTTAAACATTAGATTTATTATATATTCATGAAAATAAGAAACATTTACCAACTGCCGGATAGAATGGTCTTCAATTTTGCTTAGCGCTTGATCAGGGATAAATTGCCCCTTTTTGTAAGCCAGAAGTTGAGACAAATCAAACAGTGGAACTCCTTCTGTGAATAGTTCTGCAATCACACAACCTGTTGGGGGATAAATCATATAGTCACACAACCAAGCTGCATTGTACTTGTGACTCTCTCCTATTCTACATCATATCAATGCAAAGTCAATTCACTGCATAATGTATCTGAACATACATAATATGCACAGAATGTTGATTTTGATTCAATGCATATCCATGAGAACAAGCCGATTGGCCAGGGTGGCATTTGACCATGGGAAAGCAGAGTGATTGGCTGAAATAATCACTCATGATGATGTCAGCCAAGGAGGCAATTCATGGGAAGAGCCAACACCAGCGGACTGGCATACAAATGGTACAATTTTACAAATGGTACAATTTTACTATATGGAGGAGGGCAAGGAGGGCTATGTAGTGTTTTTAACATTGTAGGGTCAGGAATACATGTTTGTGGTCCTGACACTATAATATTCCTTTAATATGAAAGAGGTAAATTATGGTGGAGCAGACATATAACTCAAATTCTAGGACTTGTTTTGGTCATAACTTGTACAATTGCTGTCGTCCTTAAAGAACACTCCAAGCACCAGAACAAGTTCATCTAAACAAAGTTGTTATGGTACCAGGAGGCTCCTAGAACTATTTAAAGGATCACTATAGTGTCAGAAAAAATAAACGGTTTTCCTGACACTATAGTGCCCTGAGGGTGCCCCCACTCTTAGGGTCCCCTTCCAGTGGCGCTGAAGGGGTTAAAACCCCTTCAGCAGCTTACCTTTTTCCAGCGCCAGGCTCCCTCCCTCCTCCGCCAACGTCAGCGGCATTCAAAGTGTCCATAGGAAAGCATTTTTTAATGCTTTCCTATGGACGTTCTGCGCGATGGTGGCATTAAATGCATCCAGCGTCACAGATGCACCTCTAAGGCTGGCTTAACCCTGCAATGTAAACATAGCAGTTTCTCTGAAACTGCTATGTTTGCATCTGCAGGGTTAAAACCTGAGGGACCTGGCACCCAGACCACTTCATTGAGCTGAAGTGGTCTGGATGACTATAGTGTCCCTTTAACACCAAAGTGCACCTCCAGCACAGATCCGCAGGTCCTCCAGGTGGCACCGACTGATGCTCTCAGCCAATAAGTGACCCTGATTCAAAAAACTAGCCTAAAAAGTTTGTTTTTCTTCAAGTCAGTTTTATGAATGGGGAGTCACTGATTGGTTGAGAGTGTCAGCTGACTGTTCTAAGCCAGTGGTGCCCCTATCAGAGATTCAGAAGCCAGATGCCACCTTGACACCGACGCAAGAGGCACACTTTGGTTATTCTGCTGAAAGGGACATTGTAGGCATTGTAACCAGGGACACATTAGCCACGATGCAAACAAGGCATTTTCCAGGGGGCGGCAAAAAAGCCAAATGCCCAGGGCAAATGCCTAGTTAGCCTCGCGGCTAACTGACATACTGGGCGGTCTGCTCAGCTCCCTCGCGCGCCGCAGAGTGAGGCTGGGAGCCGGAACATGACATCATCAACCCGGCTCCCAGCCTCAATCTGCGGCGCGCGAGGGAGCTGAGCAGAGAGCTCAGAGGAAGTGCTCCCTCGCCAGCCAGCCGCCCGCCCGCCCAGCAGCCACTGGACCCCCAGGGAGAGAGGGGACCCAAAGGTAAGGAGGCTGGGGGGGGGGCGTTAAATCATTTTAAAAAATATGTTAATGTAAGTGATTGTGTGTGTGTGTCTGTTTGTGTGTGTGTGTCTGTTAGTGTGTGTTTCTGTTAGCTAGTGTATGCGTATCTGTCAGTGAATGTGCATTTGCCTAGGGCAGCACAAAACCAGAATAGACCACTGATTGTAACTGCTTCATCTCATTGAGTTGTTGGAAGTTAGGGTCGCTCATTCAGTTTTAAACTACTTGTAAATAGTTTTTAGTGAATGGATGGACAGCGCCATGGGAATCCAATGATATTAAATGGTTATAGTTCCTACAGTGTCCCTTTAGGAAGGGTGATGTTATCGTATCTGTGATCACATATCTTTTTGTGCTACAATGTTGGATGCACAACAATCTGTGCATAGTAAGGTGTTGTAAAAGGTCAATTGGGATGACAGAAAATGGCTGTCAAAGAAACCAGGACAGAACAGTGATAGTGTGATGACAAAAAGGAGCATGATACATTTTTGCACTCTCTCACTGTGATTTTTATAGCTTATTCAATTTAAAGGGCGGTAAAGAGAGTTTATGTATTTATTTTTTTACAAATTCTTTACGGTTATGGAATGACTACTTACTCTGTAATTTAAAGTAATACATGGAATATTATGGTTTATATGTTGCGGATCAAATAAGCAAAAGCATTGATATAGCAGAAGAGATACCTGCAGAAAAAATATCCATTGCTCTTTTAAGTTCCCCTCTCGTACGCTGGTTGTTATTTGTGAGATCCACCAAAGGCGTCGATGGATCATTCATGGATTCAATCTCTGTGGAAAAAGTGGTGCCATCCACAAACCTCTCTGGAGCAATATAACAGGTTCTCCTCCTGGAAGTGTCAAAGAAATAGTTGAAGTCCGCAGGATTGTCCTCAGGGAGGTAGGTGGGTTTAAAGCTGGCGAAGTCTGTCAGGAGTACCCAGTTCCAGCTGGTCACCATAACATTTTCTGTTTTGATATCTCCATGTCTTACCCCAGATTTGTGAGCTTGATCCACAGCGGTCAGGATCTGGAAGGCAATCCAGCGCTTCTCAATGTTGTTGAGAAAGGGACGGGTGCTGATCCTGTCATAAAGATTGTCCCTGACATACTGCCTGAAAAGTAGGGCTGCCTTCTCGTTCAAGGTAAACTTCTGGAAGGGCAGGCAGTTCTGGGAAGAGCACAGCCTGATCTTCAGCTCCTCCAGCTCCTGCTTGTAGTTGGTGAGGGGCAGAGAGGGGTCTTGGATGGCAAATACCTTCACAACCACCAGGCCCTCCCTGTGCTTGGCACGGGCCACTTTGAAGAAGCGTGTGCTGCCCAGGCTCTTGTCGTACTCATAGTCATGGATGTCTGAGAAGTAGCTGTCCACAGAGAGGATCTGAGAGGGCGCTATCCCTGCCAGCTGATTCCCCATGGCTGTCTCTGGGGGCAGGGGGAGCTGAGCCCGAGCTTCCTCTAAGAAACCACAAACTCACACACACAATGACCATCTGTTTACACACAAACGGAGAGAAACCCACAGCGGGATTTACTAAGTGATTGACAGGTGACACTGGCACGTCCGATGATGTGTGAGGCGCTCTGATCGTGTACACAAACAGCGGCTCCTACACCTGGCTTCCGGCTTCGGAGGCACTGCTTTGCCGGAGTGCGCATGCGCGCGACTGACTCCGTCCGTCAGAAAGCCGAGGGTTGTCGCCGCGTAAATCGCGTCATTCCCGGCGGCGCGGGCACGGGCACGGTCGCGCGCAGTGTGGGAGGGGCTGGTAAGGCAGAAAGGAGGCGGAGCTGAACTAGTCCCATAGTTTATCAGGGCTCCAGCATCCGGCAGCGAATTGTAGCAGCGAATGGCAGTGAATGGGAAAATTCTCCCTCTCAGCTACACGAACAGCTTGGCTAGTTAAAGGACCACTATAGGCACCCAGACAGCTTCAGCTTAATGAAGTGGTCTGGGTGCTTGGTCCAGCTAGGGTTAACCCATTTTTCTATAAACATAGCAGTTTCAGAGAAACTGTTATGTTTACACTGAGGGTTAATCCAGCCTCTAGTGGCTGTCTCATTGACGCTTGCATGCTTCTCACTGTGGGCATGCTTTCACCCTCAGGGCACTATAGTGCCAAGAAAACGAGTATGTTTTCCTGGCACTGTAGTGGTCCTGTAAAGGGACACTCACTGTAGGCAAAGTAGAATTTACTAAAATAGCGCTTTGGCGCAGTTACTTTTTGGTCATCAAAGAAATCCATCACCTTGCACTGAAACATACTAGCACTACACTGCAAAACACCCCCTTTTCACATATTCTAGCACTACACTCAGGGCCGTCTATAATATGATTAGAACCCTGGGCAATGCATTTTATTGGGCCTTGCTCCTCCCACCCCCCCAATTACGCCCAACCCGCAATCATACTGACATACACACTGACACACACAGGTATACTGACACACACACAGACATACTGACATACACACAGACATACTGACATACATTTAGCCACCCTCCAGGTTTTTACCTTCTTCTGGAGGGTGGTTTCCCTGGGGTCCGGTGGCAGGTTGAGGCAGTTGGGAGTTCTCCTCTGGAATTCCCCTCCTCCCTGCCTTCCTCCACCCGCGCGGCTGTGATTTCCGGTGGGAGGAAGTGACGTGTGGCACTCACTTCCTCCCAGCCGGGTACCGAACAGGAAGGGGTCCGGTCGCGCTGTATAAGCGTCACAGCGCCCGACTGGGCCGCTGCTGACACATGCCCACCAGGTGGCCCTTAGTGCATGGGCCACCTGGGGGGCCTTCTTAGTGCGAGGGCCGGTGCAGCTCTCTGCAGCCGCAGCGCCTGGTCCATGAGGGCTGCGCAAATCGCGGGGCCCATGGGGCAGCTACTTCTGGCCCCCCAGGAGCAACTGGGCCCGGGGCAGCTGCCCCGTTTGCCCCGCGTTAAAGACGACCCTGACTACACTTAAATACTACCCTGCATCAATACACTGTTACCCACAAATAAATACATGCTTCTATGCTAACACTTTATACCAGGCCTGTCCAACCTGCGGCCCCCCAGATGTTGCTGAACTACAACTCCCATGAGTCTTTCAATGAAACAGCCAGGGAATCATGGGAGTTGTAGTTCAGCAACAACTGGGGGGCCGCAGGTTGGACAGCCCTGCTTTATACATAAACCTGTGCAAATAGCATATGTATGCAGATTACAAAACTTCCACTTGACTAGCCATTGTTGAGTGTGGCATGGACTCTCCAGGCTTGCAGTGGAAAGTACTAGCTAGTAGTGTAAGGCTTGAAATTGTAATCACTGTCTGTATGTATATGCAGAGTGATCAATTTAAAATGTGTGATCTCACTAGTCTAGACTGGGGGTAGGCATCCTATGGCACGTGTGCCATGCATGGCACCGAGGTGTCTTTGCACGGCACTCAAGGCTGCTAGAGCCAAACAGGCCCCTCTGACCTATCAGGAGTCCCAGTGAAACTTCAGATATCTGCTAATATGAAAAGGTGGTGAAGGACAATCCTCAATTTATGCATTGCAGCACATAGAGGAAGTGACCTCAGATCACTTAATTCCAGCATTTATGAATGGGAATCCACACTGTAGTATATCCATTGTGGCAGAAATGCTTCTGCCACATGTTCTTGGAGGGGCCTGCATGCCAGCCTCCTGCCTCAAGACTATGGCCCCTGCAATAGACTCTGGCTAAAATACTTTAAAAAGGCGCTGTTCGTGCAATTGGGATTATGTGGTTCGGGAACCGAACAGCCACACAAACCAGAGACCTCCCAGGAGCTTGTTAAACCCTATTAACACTTGGTAACGATTCTAATCTCAGTGTTCTAATTGTTTGTATGGGTGAACGCATGAACAACCACGAGGTGGCGGCCATCTTGTTCGCATGAAAGCAGGCAGCGGTGTTTGGTCGTCGAGTTCCTGGAGCTAAAATCAGACACTGACTTGGGTCCAGGGTGGGTGGAGGACAGTGAGACCCCAGCCAAGCTGCGGCGGCTAAGGGGTCAACAGTGCTGAGGGTGTCCAGTGCGGTGCGTATGGTACTCAAGGCTTACTAGGAAGAAGCGATTGGCGGAGGCACCTGGTCGGGGTACCAGGCGGTCCATTGCATCCATCCACACACACATTTCCACAAGCAGCCCCCATACACAACCCACATTCATAGGTATCATACACGATACCACAAACTACTCATGAACATATACAATATGATATACGCACAAATACAACGATACAACTGCAGTATAAATAACACAAGCAGCATACGGCAACATACACACCTCAATTTAAAAAAATAGGACCGGTACACTACGGTACATCACAATTCTATTTCGGCACAGTGCTGCTAAAAAGTTGCCTACCCCTGGTCTAGACTATAGAAACCCTTTAATTTAGGTTAGCATCAAGGGGCCTTTGACTTAATTTTGACCAGGAAAGAAGAAAGGATTGGGCACAAAATTAGGATTGTGGTCTAAGTCAGATTTTTTATTGAAGTAACAAATACAAATTTTGCCCAGGGTTGCTTTTGTCTGTCCCCAACCAATTGTGACATCAGAACACATGCACATATGACATATTAATGACATCATAGCAGCAGAGATACCTCCAGTGTTCTAACTCACCCCATGTGCCTGCATTCAGTACAGAAGTGTCTTCAGTGAACTAGCTTTGTATTCAGTCTGCATCACCTACATTCGGGCAGGACCAGTTTACATCTATAATGGGTTTATAATATTCATTTTAAATTGATAGGCATAGTATATTTAGAATATTGTATAATCTGTATGAGGAAATGTAACATTACGTGGTTTTCCAATAAGGAAATACTGTAGTTCTTCTAATGTGTATTCTAGAAAATAAAATATAACAACTGATCCATTGTGAGGTGAGAAAGGAAATCCTTCTAAAGAAAGCTGAGGGACACCATTCTCTCGATTTACCCTTTATATCAGCATTTAAAGGAACACTATAGTCACCTAAATTACTTTAGCTAAATAAAGCAGTTTTAGTGTATAGATCATTCCGCTGCAATTTCACTGCTCAATTCACTGTCATTCAGGAGTTAAATCACTTTGTTTCTGTTTATGCAGCCCTAGCCATACCTCCCCTGGCTATGACTGACAGAGCCTGCATGAAAAAAAAAAACTGGTTTCACTTTCAAACAGATGTAATTTACCCTAAATAATTGTATCTCAATCTCTAAATTGAACTTTAATCACATACAGGAGGCTCTTGCAGGGTCTAGCAAGCTATTAACATAGCAGGGGGTAAGAAAATCTTAATTAAACCGAACTTGCAATAAAGAAAGCCTAAATAGGGCTATCTTTACAGGAAGTGTTTATGGAAGGCTGTGTAAGTCACATGCAGGGAGGTGTGACAAGGGTTCATAAACAAAGGGATTTAAATCCTAAATGGCAGAGGATTGAACAGTGAGGCTGCAGGGGCATGTTCTATACACCAAAACTGCTTCATTAAGCTAAAGTTGTTCAGGTGACTATAGTGTCCCTTTAACCCCTTAAGGACCAAACTTCTGGAATAAAAGGGAATCATGACATGTCACACATGTCATGTGTCCTTAAGGGGTTAATTCTGTGTATATAACCTTCATATTAGAACACAAATTCAGTGAGCATGGAACCTCAGTTCTCTTTATTGTACCTTTGAGTACAAGGGATCTAATAAACCTTATGTTGTACCCTTCCTATTAGAGTGTAAGATCTGTGAGGAGAAACTTTATTTATCTGTTTTAACACTCATATGCTCTATTTGTATTGACCTAATTTTTTCTGTATAGAATCTACAATATTAAAGGGGAAGCTTTGTCAGCAGGGATCTAATTTCTCTGCATTATTCCTTTAGCAATATATTTTCCCTTGAAATAAATAGGATAATTCACTAAAATCCAAATCCAGATTAGCAAAAATAATCCAGTTCCATCCACAGTGCTGGGTTTAGGGCTTCATGGGCCTTGAGCTGAATAGTGATGATCCTAATAATAGAAAAGTAATTCACATTTCAGTTGTCACATTGATCACTATTAATCAGTGTTTGGATTTTAGCTGTCAGCATCTAAATGGACATATATGTTCATTTTAGCCATAGCAGGCAAACGGCAGTTTTATAAGGGTTTGACTGGGATTAAGTTATCAAGGTGCCTTTAGTGGTCCTAAATTTAAAGGACATATGGTTTACATGTTCTGAGATATATCTATATACATTCTAATTTCTTATAATAAATAATAAAGCAGTCGTGAAATATAAAACTGACAAAAGTTTATATTTGTGGGGGGTGGGTCCTGACCGCCATGCTGACCGGTCAAATGCTACTGAGGCTCTTGCTGAATCCAACTTAAAACGGCAGAAATCATGGATTCACCACAGATAATCGTGAGAAGTCCGCTACTGTGCATGGGAGCTGGTGGGCGCCACCGCGGACTCCGTGATCGTGAGTTTTGGGGCCCCTGTGGTACGAAACTTCGGAGCCTGCGGCCTACTCGGGTGAGACACGGGGCAGACGGCCACTGCCCTGCTTGCACACCTGGCTGTCGTACCGAGTTCCTGTGACACATTTTGCTGGCCCCAGTCCCCCCCCAGGAGCCAGGGGGTTATCCCGTTACCCACTGGTGGGAGCCGACTCTCAG